AGACGAGTACCTTTTTTATATGGCGAATTTCGTCATACTTATGAAATACATAGTCTTCTTAAACACTTAGGCGCCTTCTCATTAGCTGCGCATAGTCTTCGAGATTATCGTTTACCATCACCTTGAGAGAACCCTCCCACTTTTACAGAAGATTTCGACAGGTGCACTTTTAGTACTTCTGTGCATGAAAACGATGGCTGTGCCAGCATTCTGAACTGACAGAGAAAAATATTAGGTTCTTGGGACATGAGGGCCCGTTCGAGATGTTAAAAAGCGTATCTTTTATAGGTATCGTTTTCCTTCCAGGTCTATAGCACGTCTTTTCAGGGCGTTTTCAAGCTTGTTGACTCGAAGGCCGTCTCACGACTTTGGGGAATGCATAAAAACAAACCCGGCATGAACTACGAGACGATGGGAAGAGCCTTACGGTAAGTACTAACTCGATAACGGTTCAACGTTATATCGTACTACTTTATATATGAATTCATTAAACGAGACCTATGCACTTGCTAATCTCAGTTATTAATTCCAAATCAATGGTTTCTTAATTAATGAGATAATTGAAAAGTTTTGATTTTTTCAATTTTTAAGATCTTGCAAACTACAGGTCAAGGTCAAACTACAGGCATTTTTGAGTAGTTGTCCGGGCTTACTGAAGCATTTTACCATGACAAACGGGTACCCCCAGGAGGCCCGTCGCGCGGCAAGAAGGCAGAGTCGGCGGACGAGTTGCAGCGCGTGATGTGCGATGTAGGACGTGCAATGGGACATTCTATTTAACTTGACGCGAAATCCCTAGTACGCGCGCGACTCGTCCGCTGACTTGCCTTCTTGCCGCGCGACGGGCCTCCTGGGGGGTACCCGTGACAAACAAGATTTTACCAGAATACGCCAAGTACCGTCAATTTCATGGATAAATTAAGAAAATCCGCCCAGTTCTTTAGAAATTTTCAACTGAACTGACAAATAATGACGTGTCTGGCCAGGAAAACATAATAACAATAAGCATAATAACAGCAACATAATATCATAAACATGAAGAGGCGACAGCGCTGGAAAAACTTTTTCGCGCACGACGCCGCCTGCGAAGAAGTGTTCGCCGCGCAGTGGACCTTCTGACCCACATCCTTTTTTCGTGAATTCCTACATTTGCCAACTTCCCTATACCGTAATTGTCTGGTGATAGAGGAGGTAAAACGCTTCAAAGTATGCGAACAGGTTGTGTGTGCGGTTCATTCCGCTACATTGAAGGCATTATGTACATCACAGAGAAAAGTAAAAAAATAAAGAAAAAGTAAAAAGTAGTATGAGGGGCATGGAGTGACATGGAAAAAGCACATAACGGTATTCTTCGCCAGATGTATATACTCAATCCCAAGGCAAGACATGCGGTCACTTCATACTTAACTCGACACGAAGCAGCTCAGGAGAATAATTTAGTTATTTTGACGCTCTTGAACGAAAATATGCAGAAAGCTCGTTCTGATCATGCATTAACATTGTCGGGGTAGCGCGAGAAATATAATAGCTGCAATTCAGGTATTACTACCAACGCGGCATTTTGCAAAAAGTCGATGGCCAACGTCTTGTCTATCAGTTCGTCGATGTGCCCAAAGAAGCACTACAGGCACGTTCCCGCTCAATTTCAGAGCACACTTCAAAAATCAATAAACAAATAAATAAATAAGCCATTGCAGGACTCACCTTTCGATTCGGGCACCGATTCAGCCGGATCGGAAGCATTCGAAGATCCCGACAGTCCGACTGCGCTTAGCGAAGAGATTCATATAAATTCTCCGACGAACACCACGCTTCTGAAAGAGGCAAAAGTTGAGCAAGTCTAAGCTAGAAAGTTCTTAATCCTTACTGTTGTGTTACTGTTGTATTCCATTATTACTGTTATTAGCCAAAATGAGGAGTATTACTTTTGTAATTGATTTTTGAGACCAAAACTGTTGAAGGGCATTTCGCAGCGCGGCGTACAGTACCTTGATTCCTTTCCGATTACTCTATTTCTAAACAGAACCCCCTACCACCGCCACCAACTCCACTTCTCATTTTGACTTCAAGCCTCGGACGCGATTTTTAGCGCACGCAACGGAATTTTTAACAAGTATTCCTTCCTATCGATTGTGATGATACCGACCAACCTTTTTTAAGCTAGTATTCCGAACAGAACCTAAACAGCGGGTGCACATCGTGTCCTTCTTAGCTTGAAGCGCCTCCCCTTATCCGATCTATAACGCCGCCAGCAGGAAGTGTTTACACAGGTCCCGGTCTTCTCAGATCCTAAAGACATACCCCACGGTGATGGGTTCAGACATGAAACTGCAAGGGCAAAAAGCACCAGCAAAGGAAAGAGCCAAAAAAATTCGTCGAAAAAACCTTAAATGGGTCGAAATTGTGCAGTTGATTCTTGCTTGATACTTCCCTACGAATGAGAAGGTTGGCATTGAATTAGAGATCAGACGACAAACAGATGACATAGTAGGGATGAGAGAAACACGAAACATGCGCCTGCGATTTCTTCCTGTGAGATTGTGCGGTTGTAATGGTGCTTACCAGATTACCTTCAGCTCCATCGCCACCCCTGGGATCACAAAATCGGCACAGCTAGGGCGTATGGGCACCAGTGTCTACTTCGCGGGAATCGCTCCTCCCAGCTTATCAAGGAATCCTCCTGCAGTCGGGGTCAGATCATGGGTGACTGTAGGTGGGCAAAAATGGCCTAATGTTTCATTCGAGATTCTGCGCCTACTAATGAGAGGTTCACTGGACCTTCAGACGAACACTGCGCTTGTTCGGTAAGCCCATAGGACAGAAATTCATGAAAATTGTAACATTCAGCTCCTCCTTTTCGAATACTATGGCGCCTTCACTGGCCACTCGCAAGGCTTGAAAAGGACCACGCAGCTGCGATTCGGTCATGGGCATCCGGGATGGACGAACTAGCACTCGCTTACTAGTACTACGAACCTAATGACCATTAAGGGCTGCCAGATCTATCGAGAAGAGCGTCGAGTGCAGACTACACACCACAAGTTACGACGACCGAGAGAAGAAAAGAAAATGCCACTTTTTTCTTGGAAGTCGTCACTTGTGGTGTGTATTTTGTATGGTATCATGGAATCGTGGGATCTGACGTGTGCAATCGCGCTGCGGCGAGCGCAACCTTGGCGGTTAAGAAAATCCCGAAATCCATTTGGTTAATTCCTTTTTAATGTTCGAAGATTTCTGTCTCGAGGCAAACTTAAGCAGTACATAAGCATCATTGCAGTCACAACTGTGAGCGAAAGCTCTTGCCAGTTCTGCTTTCTTTGCGCGGGGGTAACTAGATGCGCTAGCATTTGAAATTTCAATTTCATACCGTAACTCCGATTGTATTTTTTCTCCAATATTCATCTCTTCTCGTTATGATCTATGATGTTGTTATTATTGTTTCAAAAATAGGCTATTTCCATATTTCAGTTCGCCGCTGTTACGCTATGCTTTATGAGCGAGTATCGATTTGGCGCGCGCGCCTCAACACGTCTTTTTCCATGCAACATGCTATATGGGCGAACTGAGACTTGAAAACAGCACTAGCTGCAATATTTCACTTCCTGGGAGGCATTTTCTAAAGCGGCCGGGGTTTAGCGTTTCTGGCACTGCTGACCACTTCGGTCTGAATGCTTAGTAAAGCCAGGTGTCGCCAGGTGTCAGAAGGCCCGTCACGTGGCGCTGGTTCGCCCGCGCGGCAGAACCTACTCACCTAGATACACGCCAACACACCGCAGCTTTCCTTCAAAGGCTTCACTTCCATGTTGTTCAATGTTTTATCTTTTTTATCACTTATTATTGTTTACTCATCAGCCGACGTGCTTTACTTGTATAGACCAGCTTATTTGGCAGATATTTTGATTTCAATTGTAGGACCTATGATCCGACATTGTGACTTACTGTGATTTCTCTTTTATTCCTGTGGCGGTTTATTATTATTTATTGAGTAAATATCACTGAATAAGTCATCGCAGAGAACTATTACTTATTACGACAGTTTCTATCCTTTGCTGTCGCCTAGAGAACCAAGGCGATCGTATAACTTGAACTGCTACTCCCTCCCTCCCCCAGTTCAGATCACTAAACATTAAGACAACACTCACACTGCTCGAAAGCAAAGCTTAGGACTCAACCAAAGCTTTAGATCCAACCATAGGCCTAAGCCCCCTAAGCATAACCTATATATGTATAGCCTATGTATGCCTACGACAAACAAACTCGTATAAGGATATTCAAAAGAACAAGAGTAATTTAAGCTAGTGGTATAAAGCAACTTAGTCAAGGTCTAATACTGATAGAATTACTCCTCATAGGAAACAGTTTATAGACTAAACCCATCCTAACCACAATCTTCAATGGTCTCGTCAGCTCGGTGAAACACTACCTAGGAGAACTGAACATTTCCATCTAGCTCGCGATAATAGGGTCTAAGCTGATCTGAGAAAGCGGTTCGCAACTCTCGCCTTACAACATTCGCATCATTAAATTCATAAAAACACGCGAAATGTCGCCGAGTCGGCGCACCCCGCCTTCAAATTTTGTTCCTTTTCCAAATTTAGAGGGCGGTGTCTAAACAACCCTAATACGTTCAAACTTGTAATGGCCACGTTCTTTGAACATCTTTCACAGTGAAAGTTTTACAGAAGGGTTGCTCGGAATTCGCTTCTTCAGTGATAAGGTTGTTCTTTCTTGATGTAGAAAGCTGCCTTTTTGTATGCTATTAGCTAGCTCAATGATACAACAATTGGCAAAAAAGAGATTTGTGTTCAACCTCATTTGTGGATTCTACAGTGGAAAATTGGAATTTTCCGAGAGCGTTCCGAAGTTTCACCTTTGCGGACGGAGACTTTTGCTCGGTTTTCAGCCCAATACCAATTTACGAGACCAATTAATCGCAGTTCCGCATTGTGTGCTCATGTGATTGTATTTCACCGAAATGGAAGCGTCCACATCAGGACGTCATTTCGGAAACACTCCAAAACACCATGCCCTTGCGTCGCTCAATCCGTGTTAATAATTGGTTCTCATGTGACTGTTTGGTACTTTTAGTCCCTCCTGTTGTTGCGTAGAACGACTATGCTTCTCCTGAATGATCCCTACTTGATTACGGAAAATACTAGCTAGATGAGCTTGACTGGTCACTCTGTGGGATGCGCCACAGACAGAGACTTCATCAAGATCATGTAGTACTTCAATCGACTTGAAACAATGACGCGCCTAAGCGGTTTCCAATCCCACGTCCGGTCCATTGACCATGTTGTGGTAAGCAGCGCTAATTGATATTACATCACCACATACACCTTACCAGAGTATTACAATATGATGGCCAGAGGTGAATGTGTTCATGAAATTGGCCCCAATAAATTCCACCTTCCAAGATCGCTGCCCTGCGAATGTACCCTCTTCGAAATGACAAATGTTCAAACCATATCTACTTCAAATCAACTCATTTTCTCAGAGAGAAACGAACAACGCACTCGCTGAACAAAGAATGGAACAATAGGTTTAATTTACAAAACCCACTCATTTTTGAACTCTACAACTTGTTTAATGGCACAGTGGTGGTGCAGGAACGATTATCGCTGCGCTTATTGTAGGAATGGCTTGAATGTGAGAAAAGCAGTTTGAGTTGGATCTCGCACAGACCCACCAAGCCTTCTCTGCCTCAGAGTCGATTAACTGGTACGAGTTCTCTATGGCAGGATAAAAAAATACATAGACATGCATACGGGTTCAAAGCAATTTCTGTCTAGACCAAGTGCACTCGAAAGCCACCACTTGTGAGAAAAGTCAAATGCGTGGCGCATCCTTGGAAGGAGATTGACGTATGCCAAGTGATCATTTCTTTCCAGCGCGTTCTCAACGAGTTCCTATATCTGCTTCTTCTGCTCACAGTCCAATTGAAGCATTAAACGTTTACTAGTTTTCATGCACAAGTATTATCTACAACTTCATTCACAACCCGTAAACAAATAAAAAAAACATGTAAAGTGACAGTAGTGAGGAAATAAGCATTGCGGGTGAGTACCTAGAACAGATCACAGCGATATTTTAAAAGTTTTTAAGGAGATTATGAGTATACTGACAAGCCATGAGATCTGGCTGAAGAAGATTTAGCAGCTAAATTCAAAAGCATTCAATGAATGCTTTGAAGTCCATCAACAAGTTATTTTTTGCATCGTACAAGCACACTCCTGGAGAACTGTCTCACTACCATCAATTAGTTCGATACAAAAGAAGGGGAACATGCGCACCAACACTTCTATGGAACAAAGAAATACATCGTTGGCTGAGCTCTATGAGGCAAAATCCGAGATTTTAGACGAAATGAAACCCTTACTGCAACCCTATATGGGACTTATGGGAGATCACTCTTCGACGAGTTTACCTCAATAACCGGCAGTACAGAACTCTGAAGGCTGTGGTAGTGGCTACTTACATAGGACGACATCGATGAAGCAACCATTGCAAGGTTCAGATTATAGAGAACAAGACGTTCGAGCAAATTAAAAAGTCTAGAGGCCCTACTTTTCTAATCAGCTATGTTTTGATTTTTTGTTAAAGCCACGGGTCAGGATCGTAGGCGAACCAGCCAGATAGTACTTTCCCAGGGTGCCGATGGTGGGCCGGCCTAGCACTCGAGGAGCGCGATGTTGTCGCGACCCAAAAGGTGCGCAGGCAAGGGCGCTAATGCCTAGTGCACGTCGCGCTGTCCGCCGCTGCCAGGCGTAAATCCACCGCGCGCGGATTATGTGGTCGTCTGCGCCCCTCTCGCGTACGGCATACTATCTCGCGTTCTCCCTCTCCTCGCAGCGCTGTGTCTCTCCGTCGTACTACGGCCGGCTCCTGAGGGAAAATTAGTGTTTTCTATGGTGCTTTTTTGCTTTCTCTCCTCACTAATGTTCCTCATTGCACCCCTGCCTATAGAATTGCCGAAACAAAACGAGACGCGATCGGATTCAATCTTGCCGACTCGTGCTTGGAGAGTCCCACATCACTTTGTGAACTACAGAATAATACATATTCCAAAGACAACATAGGCAAGTTATGGGCGATACTAGTTGCCATATTTTTTATGGTTTAGCTCGTATAGTGGGATCGATATGAGGAATCGATTGAGGAGATTCCATAGCGAGACAGCCTTACTCTTTTAAATGGTGCTGATCTGACCTGTTGCCAACTACTTTTCCAAGACGCCACTGTTTAAAGGGGTGCCCCCCCCCCCCAAAATTACTGAGTCCTGGTTTTTAATTAGTTTCTCTAACTTATGCACGGAGAAAGGCATTCAGAAAGAGAAATGCAAAATGAACATCTTCAGTGGCCAAAATTTCGGTGAAGGCGTTTGTACACGGCACACACAGTCTTGAGGATCGGAACATTGAATGATTCAGCTTTTCCCATGGCCACTGATGGCTCTGCAGCGCCCCCAGTTCTTTCTGCACGCAGAACTGAAATGATGCACTGGCGGACAAAAACAAGAGATATTCTATCAGTAGAGAGAATTCCACTATTTTCGCTCCCTTTTCACAAGAAAATTCTCAATAGTAGCTTTTCGTTTCTTTGGTGGCTTAGGCTCAGATTTCATCTGAGGATCCTCTTCCAGAAGCATAGCAGCGTTGAGACACTCGTCCACATGCCGATTCACTTCTCTGTCGTCGTTCTTCAACAGACATCCACAAATCGGACACGGAACTTTTTCATCTGAAGAGCAAGGCGGTTCTGACGTTACCGACGATGACGGTTGGTCACTGGTGGTGCAGTTGGAGTCTGCGAGTTGCTGTCGCTTCCAGAAGTCCAACACCTGATGAAATTGATATATCATTTCCTTATATTGATGCCACCCATCACATAGTACCATACTTATCACTGCAGAAAAGAACGCCACATTATTACCATTTACCACTATAACCAATCTCCAATTATCCAAATTCATAGTTTTTCAGAATGTAAGTACTGTGTTGATCATACAAGAACAAATCTTCCAGGAGCGGTGTCAGACTTTGCGAATCCACATGCCAATAGCGAATCGCGCGCTACGGACGATGTGCCAGCGGTTTGGAAGAAGCGCCAGCGCTTCCAGTGTAGGAGAGTGGCTACATTCCTTTTCATTCGCAGGTTGAGTCTTAACACACTTCCAGTCACCAGAAGATGAGAGCACGCGAAGGCACGAAATAGGAAAGTGGGGAGAACAAGGCGCAAATGAGAGGGACTCGCCACTTTCTCACCCTTTTCAAACCGCTAGTACATCGTTCAAACAGCAAAGTCTGACAGCGGCTGGAGTTCGCAAACAGCTACCGTAACACTGGGCAAAATAACGCTATAAAAGAAATTGATATATAACGTCCTTATCAGGAGGTTCGTCAATAGCTACCGTAACACTGGACAAACGCAAGCGCAATCAAGACTCAAGAAGTCATGTGCCGTATTGTTGGGAGAGAGGATTGTCGACGCTGCCTTCAGTCCTTTCTCGCTACCGTAATAACTTCGTATAGCATACACCTTACGAAGGGATCGAGGACTTCTTAAAGGAATCTTCCACGGACCATGGACCAGTGGGCGGGACCGGAAGTGGTTTTGCGACGAAATGCATGGTAGGTACGGATCCACGTTCATGGGAAGGTTTGAAGTGAATCCTGTTCACGTTCGTGCGTTCGACACGTGGATCCGTACCCTACCATGCATTTTCGTGGAAAATTCCTTTAATTAGGTGTGCTGACTGCTGCCCTCAACCAGTTAGACTCACCTCAAATGGAAAACTGATTATGCTAAATACTCTGTTGAGCGCACCAAGATAACCTTACCAGAACTTTGCACTCCACTGCACCTTCGCAATATTACGCCTGGCGTTACAGCGACGCTCACAGACTCGTAGAAGATTCGCTCGTGCCCTTTGATACACCTCCCATGGTCATAGCTGGAGAAGTTTCCGCGGCACTAGGACTCTCTTGAGAGAAGGATTTTGGGAAGTGGTTTACACAACCGTGTGTGGCTCTCGAATAGCGTTTGGTCTATACAGAGGGTCAACCGATGTACAAGTCGGTGTTTCTGACTTCCAGAAAAAAAGTTATACCAGTTAATCGAGCGATGGAAGACTGTTGGACAGAGATGGACTTGACTCGAATACTGGACCGTGGTAAACGGACAGCCTGCCCCTGCACCACCATTGCGCATTGTGGCTGTTATTGACTGCTTATTAGCCGCCAGCATATTCAAGGTCGAAATACCCATGAGAAGCAATCATTCACTTTCGTATGTGAAACTCACAGAAATCGGCGCTCCGGAAGGTCGATCATCTTCAAACTGTAAATGACTGAGTCGTATGCCTAGCAAACGAAACTCATTTGGCAATTCACGGTCTAGCACTTCACGAGTTATCGAAAGGATCTCTGAAACCTCACCATTTTCAGAAATAAATCAAAGAACAACAATTCCACTCAAAGTTAGAATTTATTAAATTACGGTTTCATGAAGCTCAGGGAAAGTTCCAGGCTTTTGCAAGCCATAGTTGCGGTAGCTTACCTACCCTTTCAAAGCTCATAGGAGCAGTAGGGCTAGAAGAAAGTTGTTCGAGGTCAAGCTTTTCGAGAATTCTCACCAACTTTCACACGCTGGTTAGTCTATGCGATGGTAAAAGACTAAGTAGTGCTAGCACAAAATCTTCCCATCTCTTTATGGTCTGCAGGTTATCTGCTCCAAATACTAAGTATAACAACAAGACCAACCTTCACGGCTCGACACAAGCCGCCCTGGAGTCTCCGAACGTGTAAGTACATCAAATGATGACAGCTTCAGTTTCAGAGTGACGCATCGACCACCTGAATATCTTTCATATAACCCTTGCCCTAACAATAAGATGATAGTAGAGGGGCGGAGGTAGAGGAGCGAGGAAAAGGATCCTGGGCGGTGGGGAATCTATCAAACTTCACGAGGCAGGCACACTGGACAATGAGGCAGAACAGAAACAACGCAAGAGCCTAACGGAAAAGCGGGATCCAGCCACAAATGCCTCGGTGGGCGGCCTGAACCCCGCAAGGTTGCTGGACCTCAAGACATGGAACTCTAGTGCCCTTGCTCCGGGTTTTGAGCCCCACCAAATCGGTACAACTTAAGCTATTGCGTACCCGGGTTCATTATTCAAGGAGAAAATTTGGTAGCTCTTAAGTGAATGTGAAATATGCCTTCGAAGGGCTCACCAACAATTCCTGCGCGTTTCATATCTTTAATAAGCATGTCGCAAACATCTTCCATGATCTCCACCAATGCTTCACGATTCGACGTCGATGTAAATGTTCTCTCCGTAGAAATACTCTTTCTACGTGGATCTGACGACGATGGGCGGCCAGGTAGTCCGAGAGCAACACGCAGGAAACACTCCTGCAAAAATTTGCTGAACTTGAATCAGATAACTGGCAGTTCTAAGACAACTATGTGTTCTGTTTCAGAGGGTTGAAATTTATGGATTCACCGGGAACCAGGGCAAATGGAAGGGTACCTCCGAAGTGCGCCTCGTGGATCATTAGACTGATACCTCACTCGAATGAGGTTGCTGTGTTGGTGACTGCTGACGTGATGTCTTTTTCGCCACACGTTCAAGGAAAGGGCGCTACTGATGAAAACTTGTAACCATGGGCACCTCGCCAACCGCGTACATCTACCGTTGTGAAGTCTGTCCCCCCATTACCTGGAAGGCTACTCACCATTTCTTCACTGACAATTCAATTAGGACCAACTACTTCATATTTGATCCATTAACTCCGTTGCCATCATCGTGGAATATGCTCTGACAAACCAAAGCATGCTAGCTAAGCAACTATAAACTTTTCCATATGATCGGTCGGCAAGGATTCCCCTAGCGCTAACAACTGCGCCAAGATCCTGATTCGTTACAGTTAGGAGGCTACGGTTCCGGATTCAATTGGTGTTAAAGTAAGATAGTCCCATGTAACGCAAAACGCTAATTATCCCATCTTGGCTCTATTTCCAAAATGGGTAAAAATTCTCCACCCGTATACCTCTTCAAAATCTTGACTCAATAAAGGTAGGACCCAAAACATTTTCCAACAATGGTCGCTGCAACAAGTTACCTGAGAAAGCTCAGAGAAGCAGAACTTCAACGCAGCACGTCTCTCCAGCACTGCCCAACATGATTTGAAACCGGTATTAACAGAATTGGTCTACATGCCCGTGACAGCACGAAGGCTCAGATACTCGACCGATCCCACGAACCGTGCATGAAAGCTCACAATCAGCCTATTCTTATTTGATTTCTCACACATGATGAACAGAAGTTTGACCTTTTTCTTAATTGAGGCAAAACAATCCTCAAAAATCCATATTACACCACCGAGAGATACATTAATCATTAATATGGAATCCGAGATTCCACTGACTTTCTCGTCGACTCTTCGCTAACTTTGTCAATATTGACTTTTTCATTGGGCTTATTCCATATCTGAGCAAATTTCTTGCCAGTCGCAAAGTTCGGGGCGATACCTAGAAAAGACATAGACATAGTAAGAAGAAAATTAATCACATCAATTGTTTTATACTAGCAAGTTTACAAGCATTGGCAACCCATAAGCTCATTTAGACAGATCTTTTGTCGCGCACATTGAAACGCGACACGTGTCAAGAACGACTCCTGTGCAAGGGCATCCCTAATGACCACTCCAAGGAGAGAAGGCAGAGAGTAAAAGCGTAGAACGCAGCATCTATGAAAGTCTCACCAATGCGAAAATCAATGGACAGAAAAAGGGTTCTATTTCAGTGTTTCTGAGCCGTCTCTCTCTACTTTGCCTTCTTGTGGCTGTCTTTTCATCGCCAACTTCACCTTTAATTCATCAAGAAAAAAAAGCTATTATAATAAACGGGTGAAGCTACACATCCGTGACAGAAAAAAATAGCATTTCTCATGTTCTTGCTTTGCCAGAATCACTCTTAGGTCCATTACAGCTAGCCATTCATTACATTTACATTTCGTAACCCCGAAAAACTTCCCTATCTGTTAACAAACGACACAAGAGCCAATTCCTTTGACGCAGTATTTTTAAGAAATCCGAGCGAAACAAGAAACATCTCCCGTCTCTCAGACACAGAGCGGAAAATGAAGATTCACATAGCGTAAATCGTCCACTCAACCTTCCATCGGGTAACGAAAGAAAAAGAAGAGCAGAAAGATCATTAAAGCTCAACTCACCAGCACTACACGTTAGCCCTGTTGCTTGCTCAACACGGAAGCGAATCTCTCGCACTACCTGAATCGAAAGAGATGAAAATGAAATGAACCGGGAAAAACAATGGATACATACAATGACAAACGAGAGCTTAGCTTGAAAAATCCTCCCCAATTAATTGATAGGAACAACTATGGAAACAGCACTATCAACTTTAAGTTGACAGACTTGCTGGTGGCATATCTCATGAACAGGAAAGGGTGAATATCTGATCAGTTAACTATCAGTGAGACACATTCCTATTAACAAGTAGGACTTCTCAAAGTGTCTCAAAAAGTGATTCTTGAAGGGCGCTTACTCAATAACTTGGTTACCCCATAATATTGTAGTTCTACTTAACACGTTGACGACAACGCGCGTTTTGGGTTTTTGCACCGCGTGGGACCACGGCGATTTTGCAGGCGCCGCCGCCTCACATAAAATCCGTGAATTTTGAGCTTTAACTATGCAAAACTCGGATGCAACAAAATGTTTCGAATGATATTCGATGTATCAAACTTCTCAGAAGGAACAACTGTAAAAGTTCAATCGAATGGACGTTTTCTGGCAATGAAAAGGCAATTTTCAGTAGCTCTTGCTGTAATGGACCTCAAAATTATTTTTGACTCGGTTGCTCACTAAAAACTTGTATCTTGCTATATGTGTAGGTCTATACTTGCTTTTACTACTCTTTTTTATGACCGAGGTTGTCAGAATTTAAAGAAAACTAGGAATGAACACAATTTGGGAAATTCGTAGGACTTGGAAAACCTTTGCTAAAAAGGAGCATATTCAACCATTCGATGAACCTCGCCGTGTCTAGTCATATTATGGTGTGGTCTATAGAATAGATGCAAAAAATTAGAAAAGAAGTAGCGCATGCGCGAAAAAATTAATAATTTGTGTGTGCAGCGCATGCGCTGCACACGGTCCCACACGGTGCTCAAGGTGTGATGCGCATGCGCTGCACAATGTCGTCAACGTGTTAAAAGGCTGACGACAGCGGACCGATTGCGCTTCACATTTTCGTGAGAATAGATCGTTCTCCCTAATTTCTCTTCAATTGTTTATCCCTTAAAACTTTCCTTATAACTTATCGGATACGGCAAAAAAATATACTCCCTATTGACTTCATTCATGCCGATGACAGCCACTATGGGAGCTGCACAGGATGCCCCTATTAATGAGCCCGAATCGCCGCAGGAAAAGTAATCGAAGGAAGAGAAACGTAGATATGACGGCCAAGTGCGATGTTGCATTGCGCCAAGGCACTACGGTAGCCGTTAAGCGTCATTTTAAGTAGTGCCATACTACGGTCGGTCAGATCGGCGGAGCGACGACGCGATGCTACTCGTCCTTTGCCGCATCTGCGTCTCTTCCTTCGCCGCGCGACGGGCCTCTTGAGGGACACCCGGCTGCCAGCTAATCATTTTCTACCAAGTGTTTGCCGTAATTTTTTTGCATACCTTTGATATCAGAACAGTCAACGTCTTATGATTATTGAAAATGCTTCGTGCCTAATGAACTTTTTAAAGGGGGGGGGGGGGGAGATTGAGAAAAGAATAAAAAAGATGCCGAAATACACCCATGTTGTCAATGTGTTACACCAGTTTAGATGCACGCGCAGTGCGCTGTAGCATTTTTTCTCAAAATATTCAAGCACAAATTACCTCTTCGAAGAGGGCCTACCTCAGCGCGGCTTATTCCGAACTCGACTTCATCTTCATAAACTTTTCGCTCCTTGCCGCACTTTTTGCAAGATTCCGTCGCAGAGGGGGGACAATCCTCTTCGGTCATCAAAGGCAGCCAACAGATGCATTCACCACCGTATCGTCGTCTTAGTAAGACGCCTGAAAGATCGAGAAATTTCAGTGAGTTCGTGTCAAGACCAGAACTCGCGGCCACTTCTGCTCCTTACGCAGCTGCGGTGGTAGCTACAGCCCTTTTTTAACATCCAATTTATAGTGTCATCGCCTTCTAGCAAGTAGTTTACTGAGAGCCATCTGGCATGAGTTTTCTCGTTAGACAGGAAACTCTGGTAATTCACGAACGATTTTCAGATATGCTACCTGTGAATGCAGGGGGGTCAAACCCAGGTCGCACTTCGGCCTTTTTTCTTCGCAGAGATTGCCGTCGTTGACGGAAGTTCCTCAGCAAAATATTCCCTAAATGTCCCTCTATAAGTACACGCAGGCCCTCCTTCACTGCCCTCACCGTCTTCAGAATATGACGTCATCTGTCACCGTCGTCAAGCTCAGGAGGCCTACAGTAACTGCTTCAGCCTGAAGCTCTTACATAATTTCTTGGATCGATTCAACGTGGGATAGTTTCCTAGGGACATTAGCTCTAACGGAACCCGTCGTAACGGTACACGATCAGTCGAGAACCCCATTGAGCTCGACCAGAGCACCATGTTTCCGGGGCAAACTTTTCTGATGCCGTCCACGTAGATGGCCACTATGAAGATTTTCTTATGAAATGAAATGCGCTCTTCAATTCTAAGTTGGGAGCACACGCTTTGAGCTGAGCAAAGTGTGATTAAATCCATTTGAGTCTGGAGACAAAATGTCTTTTTTATTGCCCCCCCCCCCCCTGTATATATTGTTTCTACAAGGCTCCAGAGAATATTTGAACAGTTAGAGCCATGGTCGGGATTGTTGACCAATACAGTGTCCTCTCTAGATGAAGAGGAGGTGCACAATGCTACAAACTTCAAAGAAGCGACCGGAACGCGGCGCTAAAGGCTGGATGTCAGACTCCGCGGTTTCCCGGCGCATCCGTCGCAGGCTTTCGCGGCTGATTTTCTGCAAATTCGCGAAGCGCCCTTGCCGCGACATCATGCGCTGGTCACGGAAATCGCAAGTGCCCCAACAATACTGCAAGGTGTTCTCCAATCCCGCCGTCACTTCTGCATGGTTATGGTTTAATGAAGACTGCTCATGATTCCACTTGTTTCATATTCAGTGTTTCAATTGTTCAAATGGGGCACTTGCAATTTTTGTGATCCGCGCGAAGCCTGCGACGTATCAGAGGAATCGAAAGTGCCTCCATCACCCCCCCCCCCTATTTTTTCACGTTTTATGGGCGCCGCGGCGAGCACGGCCGAGCCGGTAGCGCCCGCGAAGTGTGCGGGAAATTTGAAAATGTTCCAGCACAGCTCGCGGGCGCCTTGTGTGTGTTGTGCCTTGTGTACTCCTGTGATCCATCGCAGGTTTCGCGAAAATCGCGCAAATCGCGAAAATCAGCGAAACCTGCGACGGATCGCGGACTCCGTATAACTTAAGTCGCGGCTCTGACATCAGCTTAAGACTGATGTCAGAGTCCGCGATCCCGAGGGTTCGCCCTGTGCCGTTCTGCCATGCTTCTTAATCGCGGCGTGAGTGGCGCCTGCGCCTCCTCGCAAACGACGTGCTCTCACACGTTTTCTCTCCTCGCAGTGCTCTATCTAACCATCCATCATCACGACCGACTTTACGAAGGAAATGTAAGCGATTTTTTACGGTGGTTTTTGCTTTTCCTCCTCGCTCACATTTCTCATGACACATCTTGTCTGATTTCTTAAGAAAATAGCACGCATATCCGATTCCGGCCCATACCTTTAACACTCACGCTTGACACTCTCAAAGTTTCCACTTGCACATTCTCGTATAACTTCAATGAGCGACCTAACAGTAAAGGATTGTGGCACAGCATATAAACCCTTTACTAGGTTTCTGCTCTAGACGTGACAATCATCGGTTATCGGGAGCCCTCGCCCTCTCTAACGAGCCCCATCGAAAGATCCTCGTCCATCCTCTCAGCAAAAATCGGCTTCGAAGAGATCTGCAAAATGATATAAAGAGTGCATAAGTCGAAAACCAATTTAACAAGGCATATACTTTAGCACGAGAGTCCGGCGCTAACGTTAAGTGATGGACAGCGCTGTTTCAACCGCGTCGGATAGCCAAGGTCAGGCAACCAGGTTTTTGTTCTAACGCCAGTCAATGGTACCGGATATGTGGGCGAAAGATTGCTGACAACGAACACAACTTATTACTGCTCAAAACTAATCTCGCACGTCAAGGCACGACCTTCGAGATATACATATCCATTTCGGAACGCCAACGGTGCAGCGCGAGAGAGCACCGGTAAACCGGAGAACCATTCCTCATTAGTAAGGAGCAGAGAATGACTAAAAACTGATTATACAGGATTTTTTGATAATTTTTCACCAAGAGTGGAATCCATGGAGAAGAAATCCTTCCGATATGAATACAGCACAACACGAATGAAAATGCACGACATGTCACATGTTTCTGTATAGCCGACACACTCATGAATAGAATCTGAAGCGCGGCCCTGCGCCTGATATAACGCACTTCAATTCATGCGCAACAAAAAATAGCATGAGAAGGAACGGATAGGAATTCTCCATATTTCAGGGATCAACAATTGCTTGGAGTTGTTCAGAATCCCATAGAATAGCTAGCACCTTCCTGTTATCGCAAACGACAACAAATGTTTTCGACGACAAAAAAAACTTTCAAAAATCCAAAAGTAGGGAAGAAAAGCGAAATGCGAAGTTCGAGATGAAAGAAAATATCTTAGAAGCAAATTACACACTTACACGGCTTTCCTCGTATACTTGCTGTAGTTTCCAGGAACAAGTCTGAGCTGCGGACACAGCTTTTTAGCGATAAAGCCTGGCATAGCCGCCCTGACGCCGAATCGACGAGCCAGATAGTTCGATGTGCTCTATAAAATTCATTAATCGGGCCATGTGATGACAGTTCCTCTTGTTTTGAGTTAAGGAGCGAAGAGAAGGTGGAAAAATAAAGGATAAAGGATAAAGCATTTGCCGTTGATCAATCCCTTTTTGGGATGCGGCACGCATTCTACTTCCATTTGTACATTCGTAGTGGCGTTTGAATGCGATGTGGCCTATACAATGACTTGCGGGGGCCAGCCGATGTTACAAGTCAGTGTTTTTTATCCTCCCAGACAAGTCTGGTACCAATTAACCGACCCCGGAGGGATGGAAGGCTTGGTTGGCCCGGGCGACTCACGACCCAGGATTTGATCCCGGACCGCTCGCGTGGTAAGCGCGCCACTTGTCACTACACCACTTCCGCCCAGGGTGGAGATTATGATGTTGTAAATGGCGCCATTTACCAGAGCACGGTCTGGGAATCACATCCTTGATCGATCTCTTTGAGGGCAGCCCAAGATCTTTCAGTCCTCCTAGCGTACGTTAATAGGAATCCTTGATCGATCTCTTTGAGGCAGCTAAGTCTTTCATTAATCCGAGCGTAGGTTAATAGGAATCGCATTCGAACGTCATGGCGATGCCGAGAGAAGTGCAATAGGAACTATGGCACATCCCGCAAAATGCACCTAGTAATGCTAATGCCTTATCCGTTTGCGTGTCTAACTAAATGAATAAAAGAAACAAAACATCCCGAAAATTCCTCTTCAATCGGAATGGAATCCCACTGGTAAGAGTGGTCTGGAAAGTTTGAGAGGACCTGCTTTCCATTCTCATCGTTAATCAAGTCACGTTTAGAACAATGGTGGCAGAATTCACGCATAGTTTGTATGCGGTTACAGATGTAATAAAATAGGGTATGGTCCAGATTGAAGTTCCTTCTAGTTCAGCCACAGAGTAGAATTATTGTTAGAGATTAGCGAGAAAGACGTCGTATAGTACCGCGCAAGTTACTAAACTGCAGTCATATTGTATAAAATAGAACCGCTGTTTGATGAAGAAAAGCGTACCACTACAAACTGTCAACTCACCAACATTGACGATGAACCAACGGCCATCGGTACGGTACGAAGACTTGGATCGTCACGCATTTCCACTGCTGCAAAATAGGCATCCATATCGATATGGACGCAGTCTCGTCGAAGATCACGGTGACATTCCAATCGTGCAGCCAACTCATCCATCTGAAGCAGGTTACAAATTAGCTGTCACAACCCTTTCGTGCATGTTGTTGCTTGTTGTTTCTTCTCTTAAGAACCTTCACATATACCATCCCCTAAGAATCCCTACTATATTATTGCACTGAGTTTGTCTGTCTGTCTGTCTGTCTGTCTGTCTGTCTGTCTGTCTGTCTGTCTGTCTGTCTGTCTGTCTGTCTGTCTGTCTGTCTGTCTGTCTGTCTGTCTGTCTGTCTGTCTGTCTGTCTGTCTGTCTGTCTGTGTCTGTCTGTCTGTCTGTCTGTCTGTCTGTCTGTCTGTCTGTCTGTCTGTCTGTCTGTCTGTCTGTCTGTCTGTCTGTCTGTCTGTCTGTCTGTCTGTCTGTCTGTCTGTCTGTTCTCTGTGTGTCTGTCTGTCTGTCTGTCTGTCTGTCTGTCTGTCTGTCTGTCTGTCTGTCTGTCTGTCTGTCTGTCTGTCTGTCTGTCTGTCTGTCTGTCTGTCTGTCTGTCTGTCTGTCCAGTCCCATCATTCTGTTCCCGGAAGCCTTAGAGAGCGGAAAAAAACGTGGATAGAGGCCAGAGAGGGAGGGGAAGTTAGGTGTTAATGGTGGGTGCGGTACAAAGTGGGCGAGTTAGCTTGCTGACTATCTAAATGAATCGCTCCCAAGATAGTTCCCGGACTTGGTCCGAGATCGGGAAAATGGATAAGAGGTCCAGCGGAAGGAAATGAGTCCACCGCTGTTAGTGGGTGGATGGCATCATCAAAAAGTGGGGGGGGGGTTATCACGAAACATGCACTATAACTCGTCGCCCGAAGAAGTCTTGCAGAACGACAAAAAAGTGGAATGAGGCGTCTACGGACAGGAAGGTCATGTTTAATCGGTGGCGTGGGGTTGTGCATCCATGTGGGCGGGGTTTACCCTAACTTCTAATTTAGTTCCGTGTCACGGAGACGCAGGGACAAACTAGAACTTGAGACCCCCGTCAAAACGGAAGGGAGGTCAAACGTGTTGGGTGGTGGTGGGGGGGGGGGGAGGGAGGGACCACGCGGCGGCGCGGCGCTCTGTTCGTCTGCTCCTCTAAGGCTTAGTCCAAGGGGCAGTTACTATTTCGTCGCCACGTGGCAGTTTCGAACAGAGCGCATCGTCGCCGCGTGGTCCCCCCCCCCCCAACTAAGTTAAGCATCCAGATTAGAAATGATTAGTTCAGGCAAGCATCTACTTGTGCTAAAACTGTCCGTTTTAGCACATGGAAATGGAAAATGGATCATATCAGAAATCAGAATTACACTCCCAGAAAAAAATACAACCAACGGCGCAATGTGGCTTGGGGGGGCAGCCGCCGCGCGCGGCGTTGCGGCAACAGGAAATTCGTGAGCCAGGGGGAATGTAGCCAATTCAGGGGGTGGGGGTGAGGGCAGTCACTTAGCATGCGTGAGAAGCTGGAATGTTCCGTGAGAAGCTGGAATGTTCGAGTTTACACCAACATCGCTGAGTCGCGCGCGTGGGGATTGCCACCCCCTCCCCCCACAACTGCACCAACCACCATATATTTTTGTTACTGATTGATGATTATTGACAAAAATACGTGGAGCGGGATGCAAAAACACCCGTACTACAGCGACCGGCATGTGTCAATTACCTCTTTCTCAGCTCTGGACCACTCAGCTGGTGATACCGCTTGCAAACGCTTCTTGATTGATTCAGTCTTCTCATTTATTCGATCCTGTTGTTTCTTTGAAAAATTCGAGTAGTTACCACTGGTATTCGATTCAATTATTTTACTTATCCGTTCCTTGTCTAATCCGGACATTCCGGCTTTATTATCGTTGAAAGTCAACATCTGAAAAAGAGGAAACTGGAAAATGAAAAAGTCAATTATGAGCTAGAAAAATCGGTGTGTTTAGGGAAGTGAGGACTAGGTGTACACATGGTTTCGCGTATGATGAGATGTCGTAAGCGCACACTCAGCTGTACACGTGACGCCAGATGGCACTATGTGGGAGCGCGTTGAGAACAGAGCATCTCCACGTGTACTAATTCTGTAATTACGACACCTCAGGTTGCAGGACTTAATGTGTTAGGGATCGCATGAAACAGAATCCAAGCATATAGTGCACCATCTCTGAATTAAAGCAACAGTTCAGGAACGGTTTCGCGGGAAAAAACCACCAATAATGAAGTTGTAGATGAAAACCAGACGATTAATGTATGAAAAACTGGAAAAAAACGTCGGGGAGGGTCTTAGACAGGTACTCTCCCTCTGCCGCTCAGCAATGGATAAAGACGCACGTTGGACGAGTTGTCTGAACGTGCCCGCTGTAAACGCGCTCCATTTTTCAATCAATTTTCCCTGTGGTCCCAAAACGAGCACGATTGCCGACGCGTCCAATGACGGCCGGCAAGGGGGCGGGATTGGGGAAATCCCCAAGAACACCCATGTTTGAGGGACTTTCCACCCTGTTTTTGAGTTTCTGAGGTAAGTTCGTTTATTATTTCCACTGCATATGTTCTTCACTAGGGCTCGTGTATCCCTCAGTAGTAGTGGCATTGAAATTTTCGGACCCTCCCTGAACTGTTGCTTTAAGCCCATCGTGAGAGATAGCACAGCTGTAGAACTGCGCTTTCCTGCTTCACAATTATTCCGCGTTCGAATCCTGCCCAGCAAGAAGGTCTTAAGTGCATGTAAGATCGGGTACATGGTGTAACGCCTCTAGGACTAAACGTAGACTTGACTATGCAGTGTGGTGCCTTTTCAACTAGGCCTGCACAAATTGAAAGAAACTGAATCTACACCGAACTCGGTTGCGTGGCGCGGGGTGTGGATCTCTCGGACAGAGAGCGACTTTTTCGCTTTTCGCACGCGAAACTTTTATTCATAGTAGCTATCAGACCACTTTGTAACCCTAACACCATTGCTGCGCACTTTCGAGGCGCGACAAAGGCAAATCAGTGATAAATGTGGACTACCCTGTCCTACCCACAAAATAGATTCTTTGTCACGACCTCTGCCGAGGATGCTCTGAGGCGGTCCCGACCAGCGCGCTAATAGGTGTGCTCTGCCAATGCGTCACCAGAACCGTACCACCCTTCAGTCATCGCGATCACTGTCTCCAATGTCAGAAAACTGTACATCAGAAGAACAAAATCAAGAGTAAAGTAGCGCCAGGGAATAAAAGAACTATGGAGTAGAGCCGCTACAGAACACAATGTTTACAAAGTAAATTTTCTGAGCATTGTGCTCATTCGACAACTAGGCGCAGCTAAACGTTTGAAACACTGAAGGTAAATTCCTCGAAATCAAGTAATTTGACCGAATCGCAGTAGATCGTTTACAAAGTTTACTCTTATTATCAACACAAAAACATATTCAAACATGCAACACTACAAAACATGAGAAACTTCTACAATATCAAAGTTCAGCTTGAAAATCCAGAAAATTCAAGATTCAAGACATCGAACTAGATTAATACAACTATCTTCAACAAGAACTCGTAAGAGATTTAATAGTAAGAAGACAAGCACCCGGAATTAAATAATGTTTGCCGAAAAAAAAACATATCCATAAAAAATTACTCATAGTTATATCTCTTCAGATTCATCAGATTCCACTGGCGCACTTCGCTTTCTCTTGGGCGCCGCTGCCAAATCTTGATTAGCCTTGAAAGGAGGCCACCCTTCATACTTCCTTGGTCTTCCTCGCTTTCTCTTAACAGGATTGAGTTCCACAAGCTGAAAATGCTATGCTCAGATTTCTTCACTACCGATCATATATCAGAAGCATGATTCAGTGTGTTCATTTCATTTCAATGACCTCAAACAATTGTAAACAAAAATATAGCAGCTGATTTCTAACATTTGTAAAAAAAAAGTGAGAATCCTTGATCTAAGAAAATCAAGGCTAAAATGACTTACGCTTCGCAAGTCGTCAGTTCGACCACAGGCGACCAAGACGTCCTTGACAGAAATGTTCTTCAAGTGCTCATGCATTTCGCTAGGTCCCGTCTCCATAGAAGGGGTAGTCGAGTCGCCAAGCTGGAATCAACAGATTGAAGACTGAATATTGATCCTTATAGAAAATGCTTTATTACGTTCCTTTCCTATTTCTACCAAACTGCAGATGAAAAATTCTATTGGTTTACGCCAAGGCTATTCCAACATTACATGTATGATGGGCTGCTTATGGGGGAAGCATGCTCGAAAAGTATTATGAGTTCAAACCAAAGAGGTGCCTCAACACAGAGTCCAATGTGAACTGCGTCCACTATGTAGCAGCTTCCGCTGCAATTATTTCAACGAAGAGATTTCAATAAAAGAAAATTCTCTCTTCTGTTCTACGAGGAGGTCAAAACTGTAACAACCAAGACTTACATCATTAACTGCAAATAATGGCTCTATACAAACAACACGGTTATCAAAGAAGTACTTCACTTATGTCAGAAATCGAGTGAGCGTTTTGATGGCAGTTTACCTCATCACCTGCGTTCGTAAAGATCCTCGTGGACGACGTCCGCGTTGGCAAGCAGGCAAAACGCGTCAAAGTGATCAAGCTCTCTGCTGCGCCTGTCTTAGGATAACCAATCGTAGGTTCTGTGGCATATATAACACATGCTGGTGATGCGATTGCGATTAAGCATATGCTTTCGCTTCCAGAGTCCATTATGAAGAGAATTCATCTATTTAGGCGGTGACCGCTCGATAATAATTCTTCAGGATCTGCTATACAGGAGAAGTAGATGAAAAGGAATAATAGAAGTGAATACACACATCTATCCGCATGCCAAGATACGCTTTTCATGGAACAACCACGTTCTAAAAACATTTTGGAACCACTAATTCACAAGTAACTAGAATTTGCTATTTAACAGCTATAACACGTCATTTTTGATCGCATTTTGGATTACTGTACTCCTCATAAGTTGAACAAATGAACATTAGATCAAATAGAAACGTTCTGGGTCAAAATCACACGTTGATGAGTAGATCGACGTCGGCTTGGCGAATGCGCGCACGTCCCCATGCGGAGAAAAAAACGCGAAACGCGCGATTCCTCAACGTGTTAACATCAGAAGGCGCCACAGTAGCGACATAATATGAATAAAATCTTAGTAAATTGTTGGGAAATCTCTTAAGGCGCATATATAAGTGAAGAACCGGTATCTTTCAACCTCCAACTCACACGACGCGCACTGGTAGATGATGGGCCCACGACGTCTATTTCAAGATTGTCATCCTCATCGGAAACACTCGGCGAAGGCAGATCCACAGCAAGAGAATCGCGATTCCTGGTGCTACGCGGTTGGTGCCTTGTCGGAGCCCTATACTCATTCAGTTCTCGCTCAAGCTTTTCATATCCAGCTACCATCGTCTCTGTTCGTTCTCCCTGCATCGTTTTTCTTTTTCCGGTTGATTTCCTCCCGGCACGTTTGTCCATCACTCACGAACGCTACTTATAAATACGGAGTAAAATGAGATAAACGGTGCTGTGGTAAAAAAAGTGATCGAATAGCAATGTATTACCACTTACACCTGAGAACCTTCATTAACCACACATTATCTACATCTGAGCAATCCTACTGACGTGTTATCTCATAGCGTTCCTGATATATCAAATGGAACCGTGATAATGACAGTTGCAATTGCCCTTTTTACAAGCATGCTAACGAGATTAACTCATTGTGATAAAAAAAGGAAATAAACTGAAAAAGCCTTTCTACGAATAGTAAAAAAAAAAGTCACAACGAGAAAGGTCTATGATGAGCAAAGCTAAAATTTTATGACAAAATTCAATTCATTGGAGAGTACAAATTGGTAACTCTCTAGAGCAAAACTGCAATCGAATGAGCAAAGTTCTTACCGCGCGTACTGTCGCATTCAGAGCATCATCCACAGCGTCTTCATAGTAAATCGGCTCATTTTCTTGAGCGTTACCAACAACTACCTCATGCGCAACATGGTCCAGCTGAGTGTACTGTGTATTAAACAATAATTCGTTAAAAACAGAAGTGCCTGATAAAGAGAGAATATTCACCATAGTCTCATTTTGAGCCGCTTCCTGTTCTGCCATAATCACCTGCATGAGTTCCATCTGCGTCTAAAATGTTCAACTATAAAAACACAAATTTATGGGAACATCGCGCCATGTGTACGAGCTCCACCCACTGACAGACGGGTGTTGCAAACTGCTGCAGTCTACAACAAGAAAGAAAATTCAAGAATCAAGCCACTGTCTGAGCACTACCGGAGAAACAGTGTTCATCCAGTCGATTTTTCGATACTCTTCCCGTTAAATGATTCGATTGAAGAATTATTGGTGAAGAATGTTCTGAAATTTTCTTCTTCGTAAACTACCTTATTTCTTATCTCCTCCTCTTCCGGTGATTCTATAGCCATAGCTAGCCGAGTAGGCTCCAGAAAAACAGCTCGCACTTGTGTCTGTAATTCTTGCACTTAATAATACACAAATTAAGAAATCAAACCACAAGTAACAGGAACAAAACAACTTCAATTGCATGGTCAGTGAAAATGGAGTATCTCAAGGCTACAATACTCACTTTCAATTTGAGATAATTCATATCCGATAGAATATCTGAATGGAGCTGTATATTGAGTCGATCATGTACCTAGCAAAAAAAATGTTTGAAATTCATACTGGTGACAGTATTGCAGATTACAGTGAAAAAATGAAATGCAAAAAGTGGAAAGCGCCACCAAAGAAAAGTGAAATAGTAAAGATGCAAACTTACTGTGAACTTCCGTACTAAGTCACCTTCAGGATAAAGGACCATGAGATCTGATGCGGTGACATCGCTAGGATTGAAATGTTCTGACGCTCTCTTGCTTAGAGAGACACGTGAGCTCTGTAAATTGACCATATTCAATTTCCAAAAGCCGAAAAATAAGGAAGTAATGGAATATAATAAAATAACCTCGAACACTCGGTAAGCCGCAGCTGTGGAGAATGTAGGAGGGAGTGTCAGATCTGGTGGGAATTGCTCACATTGTCTCAGCCTTGCTGCCACATCAGCGCATCTATTATTCAGAAGCTGAAATAGGAAGCACTGACACGATGATCCTCTCGAGACCACCTTAATGCAATCACGTGTCAAATCGGAAATGAGGGTACGAAATGAAACAAAATCCGGTTGCGAGACTGTCAGGACATCGGGAAAAGTGGATAGAAAGAGGCGAGGTCCCTAATGCTGAAACAGAGTCCTCCAGGCGAGAGCGGAAATTCAAGTGGGGAAGTCTGGTTGTCCCTCTCAGTATTATAACCGGGGCCACGCCAGACGTGAGCGCCAACGTGCGAAGCACGTTGTTCACATATAAAACATTATGTTGGAAAAAACATCGGAATACCAAAATGTGCATAAGACTCACATTGGACACAAATCTAGCAGCGACATTTTCTGGTCGTATGCGATCGTCAGTATACCTATTGCACCACTCGTAATGGTCGTACTTACGAACTGCATGACATAAAGATTCCGTCATGACCATTATTCGTTCCTCCTGAAAAATATGAAATAAGACTCAGTAGGAGATCTCGCACAAATCGTTGTATTTTTCTACTGGACAGCGAACGTGTTGAGGATAGAGCCTCCAATCCTCACGCACTTTAGCTCATGTTCTAACAAAAAAGGATTAACAATAATCATCTAATATAAGCTTCCATGAACTCGCAAATCTTCTATTAAGGATTCTATATGAACTGTGCCGAAATGAAAACGCTTCTTCGGAGATGTGGAACGGGAATCAGAACACTCGTCTTCAGCTTCGTCTTCCACTATCACCTGCATTCCCTCATTTGCCAACCTTCCTGGTTTTTCAGGAACCTGTGCCATTTAAGGAATCGAAATCCAGACTTATGATCCTAGCTCCACGAGCTTCGGTGCATACCTCGCCTCGAATAGCATTTGGTCTGCCCTTTCGCGACAACCCTTTACTTGATCTCCGATCCTTCTTGGAACCAAATCAGGCACGCAGAGTCAACCGTCGCGTTCACAATTTCCCGATTTCCTCTCCCCCCCCCCTCCACCTCTCGCCCCATAACAGCCTTACGATTAGGTTTTGAGGAGGTCCCCCGTAGCAACGATCCCTTTCCTTCACTATCGTGGCTGTTGTCGTGGGAAGAACCCAGCTCTTCCGCAACCGCGATTCCTTCAGCCTCCACAAACACCCTCCCCCCCCCCGTTCGCCCGTTTTCAAAAGATGCTCAACCTGACCAACCTGATCAACCCCAAATACAACCCCGTTCGAATGGTTCGGAGAATTCACGAGAACGTGTATGCGAAAGTCGGAGTATAGGCGAAAAAGGGTATGGACCAGTTGACTCTGTCATAGGAATCGGTAAATCGCGTCAGCAACATAATGTAAAAAGTGAATGTTCAAACAAAAACGAATGTATTGCGAGACATAGGCACCAGGACGAAGCTGCAGCCTTTCTTTTCCTGATTTTTCGTAACATAAAACCCGCGCTCATCTTTAAAGATCGTAACACTTCGGAGAAGAGAGCTCATCAATGCAGCTAACAAAACTTCTTTTTAGATTCCTTTCGACTGTGAATCGTAAAAAAAACTACACAAAAATCTTGATTCTTTGAATATTAAAAAATTCTTGAGTAGCAAACCTCGGTCTCATGCGGTTCAAACTCTGATCTCTCATAAACAGAATCCGGTTGTAGATAGATATTCTTCTTGATCTTTTTCACAGGCTAAAATTTGAAAACGTTAGTGGTTAACTAACACATCTCAGCAAGCAACACATACCCCTCCTTTTGCTGGACGTGGATATCTCAAGCTAGCAGCATGCACATTAAGCACATTCCGTCTCTTTGCAGCCGTAATTATGGACGATATCTCCCTGCAAATGAGTGATTCAAGAGGTTTGTACTTTGACGATAGCCCCGGGACTTCACGCACTAATACGAACCACGCCGCGAGTGAGTGTTAGGTCCGCATTGGGGAGATCATGCCAGCTTCGTAGCAAAAATGCACGGTTAGGGCGCTCGTCGTTACGCACTTGCAGACATCGCAACCCTTTCCGCTCATCGCTGCTGTTGTCAGGATCAGCGACGACGGCTGCGCAGGTCATTCACCTTTTCGACTTCATTATTAGACCCTTTTAAACACCCACTTTATATCGGGACTGCCTTTCAGTCGATGGTAAAATTGATTGCAGTAAAACAATAACTACATCACTAACTTATCGGTGAGATGGATCTTTTTAAACAATTCTTTGACGTCCGGAGCAGCCTCGCCATTTCTGAATTTCGCAGCTATTCTCCTAGAAAAGTGGATTCAGCTACTAATAAATGCAAAATGCACATGCCATCATGCCTTACCTCAATTCCTTTCTCAATAGTTGCCTTTTCTTCTTCAGTAAGCCTTTTATGAGGCCCACTCTAAATTATGACAATTTTTAGCCGCACTGATAAAAAAAAGGCGTAAAAACAAAAAAAAACGGAAGCCGAAGAGAGAAATCACTTGGCAGGCGAGAGTAATCAAAAGATTAGGAAATGGGCTGGAAATCAAAGAAATAGTTGTTGGCTGAGAAAGGAAAGAATCCACGAAGGCTCGTCTATGACCAACAAAGACAAGTGATGTGAAAGAGCACACAGCGTAAAAAAGCTAATCAGAATAGTTAAACTATGTACTGAATAAAATGGTTGCATTATAAAGAAGAAGGAGAGGAAATGGCTAAAACGTTGCAGGAATTACGGGAAGAGGGAAATATGGAAAGATAATTAACAAGCAGGCTAATTAAAGCTGGAGAGAAATGAAATGGAAGCAAATCCGCAAGAAACAAGGCGAAAAATGAAAGTTGTACGATAAAACAAAGAAATTAAGCGGAAAATCACAAAAAAAACAGAAAATTAACTGCTTGAGAAGGGCATCAATTGATTAACAAATCATGCTTCACTTTCTATCAGCGATATTCTACGATTTCAAGTAAGCAAAAATTTCCAACCTTTTGTGCACGAACTTTCTCAGCCTGCTCTTTTGCTGCACGGTAACACTGTGATTTCAGCTCATCTTCAGTCAGCGAATAGCGCAACTGGAACGAATTTCATTGAACTCAGTTATTCACTAAAATTTGAAGCAATATGAAAACACTAGAAAAAATTAAACCGTATACATTTTCGTGAGCATTTCAAATTGCTTCTAAATGTAAATGGAGTGACTTCGTTACAATTCGAATAGCTAGCACCAAAAGTAACATGCGATAGCTAATTAAATGGACCATCTGCCGACGTTTGAGTACCACAGGGAACGTAACTGTCAGCATAGGTTGCGTGTTTCACTTACGCTGCGTTTCTCGACTAACTCTACCCACAACAAGTGGTTGCGTGTTTTGAATGCAGTAAAACCCTTCGCCGCCTTCTTAAGCCTATGCAAACCAGATAGGATATGGTACAGAAAACT